GAAACCTAAACTAAACTAACTTTATTTATACTGGATAGTTCTATCAGTTCTAAACTGTTCTTCCTAGAGGTCCAGTAAGGATCATCTCTTATTGATCCAGTGTTACCACAGGAGGAAACCTAAACTAAACTAACTTTTTTTATACTGGATAGCTCTATCAGTTCTAAACTGTTCTCCCTAGAGGTCCAGTAATAGTCATCTCTTATTGATCCAGTGTTACTACAGGAGGAAACCTAAACTAAACTAACTTTTTTTATACTGGATAGCTCTATCAGTTCTAAACTGTTTTCCCTAGAGGTCCAGTAAGAGTCATCTCTTATTGATCCAGTGTTACTACAGGAGGAAACCTAAACTAAACTAACTTTATTTATACTGGATAGTTCTATCAGTTCTGAACTGTTCTTCCTAGAGGTCCAGTAAGGATCATCTCTTATTGATCCAGTGTTACCACAGGAGGAAACCTAAACTAACGTTATTTATACTGGATAGCTCTATCAGTTCTAAACTGTTCTCCCTAGAGGTCCAGTAAGAATCATCTCTTATTGATCCAGTGTTACTACAGGAGGAAACCTAAACTAAACTAACTTTATTTTATGCTGGATAGCTCTATCAGTTCTAAACTGTTCTCCCTAGAGGTCCAGTAAGGATCATCTCTTATTGATCCAGTGTTACTACAGGAGGAAACCTAAACTAAACTAACTTTATTTATACTGGATAGCTCCATCAGTTCTAAACTGTTCTTCCTAGAGGTCCAGTTAGGATCATCTCTTATTGATCCAATGAGGCATTCATCGTGATTGAGACGAAATTAATAACTGCATAATATAGAAATCAAGGCGAATCATGCAGTAACCGCTATTCAATGTTTCTCTGATTTTAGTTGCTGGATAATTTGGAAAATAATGTTGTACAAAGTGAACATTATAAATTTCATTGGTGGCCACATACCGACCATGTTGCTGCCTTTAATGTGGACAGGACCGACAAGGTGTTTAAGAGTTTTGCCATCATTTAAGCTGGGGAAACCTGGAATTTATACTTAATTGTCTTCATATCTCTTCAACAGCCTGTGAAAACATCAAAGAGTTGGTTCTGGGATTATCTTATTGGGTTTCATCTCTTGCAGTTTATGTATTGGTTGAGGTTTGTATCGGAAAATATTGAAGTTCTTAAGGATTAATTTCGTGTATGGACGCTGAGCGTAATGCTTTTGCCTAACATTCAGTACCATCTACTCACGATCTAGTGATCGGAATTTGCCATTGTCTTTCCTTTGTTTTGAAAATCCCACTGTTCTCCATGTCATCCAGTCATGATTGAATGTTCCATTGTCTTTTAATAGGCAATTCCAGCTACATACTAAATTTTGATCTAGGCAAGAAGAACAAAATCCATCACCACAGCTAGAAAGAGCATGTTAAAATTAGTAAAATTGCAAAGTTTGGTCGCGAAATGTTGTAAAATGAGGAATATATAGATAAATTTTGTATTAAATTTTGTAATAAATTTTGTATTAATTTGTATTACGCACGGGAAAATGCACCACTTTTGGCCCAAATCTGGTGCATTTTCCCGTGCGTAATACAAATTAATAGAAAATTTGCAAATTTTGTAGCGCTATATTTTCCGCATTGTGCCACATTTCGCGGCCAAACTTTGCAATTTTACTAATTTTAACATGCTCTTTCTAGCTGTGGTGATGGATTTTGTTCTTCTTGCCTAGATCAAAATTTAGTCTATAGCTGGATCATCCATTGTTTTGAAAATCTCACTGTTCTCCATGCCATCCAGTCACGATCCAGTGATCAGAAAGACAAAGTTCCACTGTCTTTTCATTGTTTTGACACATTTGTGAGGTTTCCCAGAAGCTTATTGTTTGGTATTAAACTGTCTCATATTTTGTTATATATCTGTAACTTTTCTGTAGTACATTTCTCCCTTCGCTGGTGAAATACATCAATAGATATCATTTCTCGTGGTTGAAATCACAGCCTGAAGAGATCATCGATGAAGCCGAAAAGGTGAAAGGAATGTCGGGTACTCCGTTTCCTCCCACAGGGAAATGTTGACAGGGTGGGTTGGGATTTGTCTCTAACTGACCCTTCCCCCGTAGCTGTGCTCCTTGATCAGACATGAGTCATAAGGTGGCTTCCAGAGGCGCCCTTAGGAAGGCATAGAATCCGTCAGGTTGAGCTGCGTCGCAATTCAGCTTAGCTCTCAGCTGTAAGTAAGGATTATTAGAAAACCCACACTTGCTTGCATGCTTGCTTGCTGGCTCGCTAATTTCACCACTGAAAACCTTGGCTTCTGGTTTGACACTTCCAAACACCGCAGGGTACGGTTTTCCTGGGTATACTGTGCTTTTATCCTATAGAAACACAGCATGTTTTTCTTTTCGCTTCAGATATTTACTTTCGACTGTCTCTTCGCGCAATACGTCAATGAGTGGGCGATACCGAGGTTCGTGTGAAGCGAATTATAAGTTTGGATTTTTAACTAGTCAATGTTTTTAGTTTATACTGTTCAACTGAGTGCTGAGTGCAGTTGTTTAAAATTTAGAGAGAAAACAGCGTACGTGATGAAACGTTTGAAGAAATGGCTTGATGAATCAGGGTTCTTTGCTCATATGCCAGGTATGGTTTGCATTGGGGTTATGTTAGGGATGGATCTAGCCTCATCTGCAAGGAGGGGTGCAGGTTTTCCATGGGGTGGTGCATGAGGGAGCCTTACTGCCCACTCTCCTCTGCAGTCTGCAACGCTACTATCCCAACATTACCATTATTTGAGATGGTCGAGGGGAGTGAGTGAAAGGTCGTCTGTTTATCAGGCTGAATCTGCATGTTCGCCGTTCTGTCGTGTTTTACAATATCTTTCTTTATAAAGTTTATATCGGCTTTTTATCACGTATGCGTGACTGGACTGTTGCTGTAGCACAGTACAGTAAATTTTCTTGTTAAAGTTAGTACAGTATATTTGAAAATATGGCTGTATAACAACCTCGACATGTTTACATATTTAACCATGATATTTCACTAAAAGCATTCTGACTATTTTCTCGTGAGCTCACAAATCAATTAAATCGTTTCAAGTTATCGACACGCGCTAACAATAGAAGTTCCGCTAATCGCTTTTCGAAAAGCAAAAATGTATGGTCAATATATTGTATTATGACCATGCAAATATTCAAATAACTTATTGTTGTGTATTCTCAATGTGCTGATTATAAAGATTCTTCTATTTTGCTATAGTCGAAGTAAGATTTGTGGCGAAAGATGACATATACATGAGTCCTGCGTTTGGTCGAGATGTGTGCTTTATTGGTATCATTATGTTTCGGTAAGTAAACTCTCTAGACAAAAACTAAACTGCAAAAGCACTATCAGCAGACGCCGACCTAATTGCTGTCGTCATGCGTTCACCACAAAAAGTCTTTGCTTGTTAAGATTGCCAAAAGTCCGTCAAAAATAGTTGGGAATTATGAATCATCTTTCCTTCCAGTCCGTATCGTAAATTTGTTCCGCATGAAGATTTTTGGAATTTCTACGAAGATCTTATGTTCTCCGTTGGTGGCCGACCACACTGGGCCAAGGTTTGTTCCATTGTTTCATTGTTTTGAAAATCCCACTGTTCTCCATGCCATCCAGTCATGATCCAGTGATCAGAATGTTCCATTGTCTTGTCATTGTTTTGAAAATCCCACTGTTCTCCATGCCATCCAATCATGATCCATTGATCAGAATGTTCCATTGTCTTTTCATTGTTTTGAAAATTCCACTGTTCTCCATACCATCCAGTCATGATCCAGTGATCAGAATGTTCCATTGTCTTTTCATTGTTTTGAAAATCTCACTGTTCTCCATGCCATTCAGTCATGATCCAGTGATCAGAATGTTCCATTGTCTTGTCATTGTTTTGAAAATCCCACTGTTCTCCATGCCATCCAATCATGATCCATTGATCAGAATGTTCCATTGTCTTTTCATTGTTTTGAAAATTCCACTGTTCTCCATACCATCCAGTCATGATCCAGTGATCAGAATGTTCCATTGTCTTTTCATTGTTTTGAAAATCTCACTGTTCTCCATGCCATTCAGTCATGATCCAGTGATCAGAATGTTCCATTGTTTTTTCATTGTTTTGAAAATCACACTGTTCTCCATGCCATCCAGTCACGATCCAGTGATCAGAATGTCCCATTGTCTTTTCATTGTTTTGAAAATCTCACTGTTCTCCATGCCATCCAGTCACGATCCAGTCAGTCGGAATGTTCCATTGTCTTTTCATTATCATCTTTTTCCCCACAGGCTCACAAACTTGGTTCCCAGGCTTTGAGAAAAATTTACCCAAATTTCGACGACTTCCGGAATGTCTGCTCCAAACTCGACCCAGGCCGCTTGTTTGTGAACGACTACCTCGAGAGAACACTTTTCCCACCAGAAAAGGTAATGACGTAATTGTCCCGTGATTATTGTCGTACACTCGCTAAACATGCAAGCACGAACAAACTAGAATTCTTAAAACATTTGTTGGACCATAGTTAATAGTTGCACAGCCATTATTTCGTGATCATGTTTCCTAGCCATATTTGCCAAAGGTGGACAAACCAGGAAACATTAATTGTTTCCTAGCCATGTTTCTCAAAAGTGGACAAACCAGGAAACATTGTTTCCTAGCCATGTTTCTCAAAAGTGGGCAAACCAGGAAACATTGTTTCCCTAGCCATGTTTCCCAAAGGTGGACAAACTAGGAAACATTATGCATTGAGCATTCCAGTTGACTTCCACAAGGTTATTCCAACAGGTTGATCTTTTTAAGTCTTAGACTGCAATTGGCTTTGTAAACGGGGAAAAAATATAATGGACATGTAGTAGAATTATTTATTAATTAGAGCGCAATATTTATAATGGACTTGTAGTAGAATTATTTATTAATTAGAGCGCAATTATTAGTACAATAATTTAATTATTGTATTTTATATGTAATAGAAGATAATGATATGCAAATATGTAATATATACGTGTTGGAAATCATAATTTGTGTCATGCTTAATAAGCAGTTGTGAACTGTATCTGAATTACCTGAAAAAGATATCTCAAACGTGGTGGTCCAGTGTAGGTAGTATTCTACAATAAGCTGTCGTGGTTTGTGTCTGAACTACCTGAAAAAGATATCTCAAACGTGGTGGTCCAGTGTAGGTAGTATTCTACAATAAGCTGTCGTGGTTTGTGTCTGAACTACCTGAAAAGATATCTCAAACGTGGTGGTCCAGTGTAGGTAGTATTCTACAATAAGCTGTCGTGGTTTGTGTCTGAACTACCTGAAAAAGATAGTCTCAAACGTGGCGGTTCAGTGTAGGTAGTATTCTACAATAAGCTGTCGTGGTTTGTGTCTGAACTACCTGAAAAAGATAGTCTCAAACGTGGCGGTTCAGTGTAGGTAGTATTCTACAATAAGCTGTCGTGGTTTGTGTCTGAACTACCTGAAAAAGATATCTCAAACGTGGTGGTCCAATGTAGGTAGTATTCTACAATAAGTTGTCGTGGTTTGTGTCTGAACTACCTGAAAAAGATATCTCAAACGTGGTGGTCCAGTGTAGGTAGTATTCTACAATAAGTTGTCGTGGTTTGTGTCTGAACTACCTGAAAAAGATATCTCAAACGTGGTGGTCCAGTGTAGGTAGTATTCTACAATAAGCTGTCGTGGTTTGTGTCTGAACTACCTGAAAAAGATATCTCAAACGTGGTGGTCCAGTGTAGATAGTATTCTACAATAAGCTGTCGTGGTTTGTGTCTGAACTGCCTGAAAACGATAAAAAAACGTTACTTTTTAATGGTTCGAACCTCGCGCTTTCGGCCCCGGTTGCTGTAACAGTCAATAACCGTGGTTCTCAATATTTTAACAATTACGTCATTTCTAATACGTCACAGTTTCCATGCTATTAAAATTCCAAAATATGCAAAGTTTGTTACATTTTGTGGTGCAATATTAGTTGTCAAAATTTGTCTATATTTTCAGAGAAATTTTTTAGCTTTAATAGAATATAGTTTAGCTTTAATAGAATATAGTTTAGCTTGTCGAATAAGGCTTCGTTTTGCATCGAAGTATGGCCGAATCTATGGGGAATTTCGCGAGCGAACAGGCGGACGAAATTTTAGCTTTGTCGTCAATTTTTGGAGATGATTTTTGCCAAAACGAATATGCCGGATGTCGGACAATCTACCAAATCAAAGTCAAGGTTAATTTAGTCGGCAAAAAGTTGCAAATCAATGCTTGGATGCCATCAGAAGAACACGATGAGCAAAGTAATGAAGTGGATGAACCGATTTCGCCTGTGAAAAAAATAACCTTTCAACGTAGTGAATCAAAGCGGCATGCATGTCTGACATTGTCAGTGTCGCACCTAACCCCGCTCACCCTAGAGTTTTCGTTCCCACCCGATTACCCCGCAGAGTCGAAACCGACGTTTACCATATCTTGCATGTGGCTCGATGCGTACCAACTGACGCGGCTTTGCAAAAAACTGGATGAACTTTGGGATACGAATTTCCGAGGAGAGTCTGTCATTTTCCCCTGGGTAGATTGGCTGCAAAACTCATCTCTGGTATACCTCGGAGCCGACGATATACTGTCACTAAAACCGTACGATTCCGATCTCGGCGTGCCACGTGATCCAAGGGGGTTGCCCGAATTCCTGGATCCAAAAGCCTGTGCTCTGAAAATCTTGGAATACGACTTTAAAATGGTTCAGGAGGAATTCCGAAAGGAGAGCCACACTTGCGAAATTTGTTTCGAAGAACGAGACGGGATTTTCTTTCATTTTATAGACGAATGCGGACATAAGTTCTGTGTCGAATGCTTGCTCGATTATTGCCAATTAAATGTTAACGAAGGTACGGTGAAGAGGCTGAAGTGCCCGGAACCCAAGTGCCCGGCAACACTATCGCCGATAATCCTCCGAGAGTTGCTAAGCGATGAAGATTTTGAGCGATGGGAACAGCTTTTGTTCCAGCAAACGTTGGACGGAATGGCGGACATCCTATACTGCCCGAGGTGTAACACTGTGGTCGTACAAGATGAGGACGAGATGTCTCGGTTAGCCCAATGTGGCGGTTGTTTCTTCACGTTTTGCACCGACTGCCTAATGAGTTGGCATTCAACACAGAATTGCGGAGGTGATGAAGTTGACTCGGAACCCGTTCAGTCCAAAAAATTGAAGCGAAGAAAACCAAAAAAGAAAGCCGGTAGTGATTCCGATGATCCGCCCAAAGAAGAGGAATCACCACCCCCGGTGAGAAAGAAGGAAAAAAGCGAGGCAAAGAAAACCTACGAGTTTGTCATGTTGCAGAAAAGGATTGGCAACTATCAAAGATGTCCAAAGTGCAGGGTTATGGTCGAGCGATCGTCAGGCTGTGACATGATGCATTGTTCACGTTGCGGACAGTCGTTCTGTTTTCGATGTGGTACGTATTGAAATACCATTGAAATTATGTCACTAGATTTATTTTTAGGCTTAGCTTTATAACTACAATTGGAAGGATTGAGGCTGTAATGTAATTGTCAGAGCAATTACAAGTGGGTTTGATGCTCGCTTAGTGAAAAGAGTCAGTCAACACTCTGCCGAAAGTTGGTGCTCCAGTTTCTTTCCACAACATGGTTAACCCATTGAGCGCAATGCGCCCAGTGCATGCTTTTTTTACTTGTCTAACACCAGACGATTTTACTTGTCAATGGGGAAGCTCTGCAGCTTAATGGTTTAACCAAAAAGTCTGACAATGTCTCTAATTAACGCATTAAGCCGCAATGCACCCCAGTATGTTTTTTACTTGTCTAATGCCAGGCGATTTTACTTGTCAATGGGAATGCTCTGCAGCTTAATGGGTTAAGAAAGTAATATCACAATTGTAGTAAAGATAAAATAGTCTAGGCTAAGTTTTGTAATTAGGTAAGCGTAATACTTGGTGTGAAGTGCATTTGATCATATATCCACATATAAATTAATATTGTGCTACAGAAATGTTAATGATTGTAAAATTCACATATTGTTTTACAGGGCAAAAGATCCGTGGATATGAGCATTTTGAAACATGTGGCAGTGCCCAAAATGCTAATCAAGTTGCGGACAGAGGCCGGGCCATGCTTGAAGGCCGACCTGTAGCGGCCGAGGCTATCAGGATTAACGAACTTATGGAACAAACCGTCCATGGTGAGCAATTAAAACTCCGAGCGTGTCCGCGCTGCCGACAGAGGAATCTGAAAGAGGCAAGGAATAATCACATGAAGTGCTGGTGTTGCAAGGCTGATTTCTGCTACACATGTGTTAAATTGATGGGGAACCCCATCTTTGCACATTTTAAGGGTTCGGGCGCATGTCAACAGCATTCAGACGATTGACCAAATAATATATTTCTGTCAACAGTTATCTTTGTAAACAGTTAACAATTCCTTTGTAAATAGTTTAGATAGGTATACTCTATGTTATATATTTAATCTTTGTTTGTAACTTATTCATGGAAGGCATCATAAATAAAGCTTTAATAATAATTAATAATAATAATTACTAGTATGTATCAATAATTGGTGGTAGACACTTCAGGGGTGGGGAGATTTAGGTTGTCACCATATGATCACATTTATCTATCTTTTTTGTAGTTATTCAGCTATATAGACTCTCAGAAATTATTGGGGGGATGGTGATTGACTCCTGCCCCCCCCCCCCCCCGCCAGTGTCTGCAAAGGTTCTCTCAAGGTACTCCAGTTTCCTTCTGTAGGTTGTAGTAACACTGGATCAATAAGAGATGATCCTTACTGGACCTCTAGGGAGAACAGTTTAGAATTGATAGAGCTATCCAGTATGAATAAAGTTAGTTTAGTTTAGGTTTCCTCCTGTAGTAACACTGGATCAATAAGAGATGATTCTTACTGGACCTCTAGGAAGAACAGTTTAGAATTGATTGAGCTATCCAGTATGAATAAAGTTAGTTTAGTTTAGGTTTCCTCCTGTAGTAACACTGGATCAATAAGAGATGATTCTTACTGGACCTCTAGGAAGAACAGTTTAGAATTGATTGAGCTATCCAGTATGAATGAAGTTAGTTTAGTTTAGGTTTCCTCCTGTAGTAACACTGGATCAATAAGAGATGATTCTTACTGGACCTCTGGGAAGAACAGTTTAGAACTGATAGAGCTATCCAGTATGAATGAAGTTAGTTTAGTTTAGGTTTCCTCCTGTAGTAACACTGGATCAATAAGAGATGATTCTTACTGGACCTCTAAGGAGAACAGTTTAGAATTGATAGAGCTATCCAGTATGAATGAAGTTAGTTTAGTTTAGGTTTCCTCCTGTAGTAACACTGGATCAATAAGAGATGATTCTTACTGGACCTCTAGGGAGAACAGTTTAGAACTGATAGAGCTATCCAGTATGAATGAAGTTAGTTTAGTTTAGGTTTCCTCCTGTAGTAACACTGGGTCAATAAGAGATTCTTACTGACCTCTAGGGAGAACAGTTTAGAACTGATAGAGCTATCCAGTATAAATAAAGTTAGTTTTAAGTTTCCTCCTGTAGTATCACTGGATCAATAAGAGATGATCCTTACTGGACCTCTAGCAGTCTAGGTCTAGGAAAAGCTGTAATTAGAATTGATAGAGCTATCCAGTATATTAAAATAAAATTATTTTAGGTTTCCTCCTGTAAATTATGTAGTAACACTGTCACTGGACCAATATATATAGATTGGCCACCCTCAGGTAGAGCCCTGAGCTGCATGATTTTGTGGCAGAAACGCAAACGTTATTGAATCCAAATCTTTGTTAATTTGCCAAATAAACAGCAAGCTTATAAAAATCCATTTAAAACTCGAGAGTCAGTTTCGAGTACGCCGGAAATTGGAGCTATTTGATAACAGGATAATCGTGGGTGTTGTCAGGCAATATTGACGAGGCGTGCGGGCTATAGGGTCATAACTCATAAGGTCGAAGATACGGTTGGGGAGTCGAAGCTTGGCTTTGTCCGAGATTATTTGCGAAGAAATCGAAGTTTGCTTTGGGGAAAAGTTTCAAAAATGCTAGCAGCTCCGGTAGCTTCGCCTACAAACTTTGAAAGAAGAAGCGTTTCAGCGTCTCAAGCCTCTCTGAGTCGAACAGGTTTGTGAGTTTATTTATACTTCATAAAGTTCTAAAGTTATCATCGAGTGGCTGCTAGCTGTCAACTGCCCTTTGTATTAGACTTGAGAAATAGCTTTCTAGAAGGGTTTGAAGTCGGCGAAATGCTTTCAATATTGCTAGTACATTGTGCGAATATACAAGCCTTATACGGCCACCGTGTTTATATTTAAAACAGTCGTCTAGCAAACTTAGCAACGATAAGAACGGTGAAGACTTTTATACAACGATGCCAAAATGTTTGCTAAATATGATTGTCGTGGATTAATATCGCGGCTTGTTGTCGCCTGTGTTAGCAGTCGAATACTGTCGAAATAAGAGTGGTGTAATCGCTTCTAAGCTTGTCGAAATACACAATACAGAGCCATTCAGCCAACGGCAAAATATTCGAGTCGATTGCCTTGACAAAATTTAGCAACTTTGAGCTTGGCAAAACATGTAGCAATTATAGACGTGGATAAATCACCGAAAAGCCTTTCGATTTTTTTCAAAAGTAACCTCGAGGCACGTTCGTGTCACGTACTACGTTTCGTTGATAAAATCTAGCCCTTAATATCCCAGTGTGACGGCAAATTTTCACACGTAAACACGTCTGGAATCGCTTGGGCTTTACCCGACGTCGGAAGCTTCGCATTCTCAGCAAATTGATACATCCCATTACATTCATTGTAACGATTAGTTCAATTTCTAGAAGTATTTCGAAACGCGTTGCTTTTTTATGCTGCTTTCTCAGGGGGGAAAAGCATTGATTTGTGCATGGGAAATTCACAGATCTTTCATGCTTTTAAATATTTATCAAGGATGCTTACTTTTAATGACTCGAATCCTTTCGGCTTTCCGCCCAAATGTCTATGTAAATAAATAAAGGCGGTGGAATTACCCGAACAAAATACGCTCTAGAAAGCGTTCATAAGTGCTTATTGTGACGCTGGGGTGAAAAAGATTTTTGTCTACGAAGATTGATTAGCGTGCGTTTTTTCTGACCTCATATTTTACAGGTCAAGGAATAAATACAGTGAGTCACTTCAGTCCGAAGACGAGTTGACTCTGAAGATAGCAATTTCAGTAATTTGAATATTTGGCTATTGTGTTGTAAAGCAAGGTCAATTTTGCTTTTCATATGCTAAGATAGGACGCTGTTTTTTGAGGACGAAATTCAAGTGGGTTATGACTTATGGCTTGTTAAACACAGCAAAATAAATATCAAATTTTGGGAATCTTACCGTGTTCATATTTGCATTTTTTCGCAACCCTTCCGTTTATACCTTCTGCTAGAAATTTCTTCGCGGAAAAGCTCTCGAATTTCAAGAATCGAGGAGAGCTTATTTTAATATGGTGTCACAAGGAATACACGTCGGCGTTTCTGGGCGGAGAGTTTACAAAATATGAATCTTTATTCGCTTGGCAACGATTTCCGATTGAAATAATCATCTTTCATCCTTTCATAAAGTTAGTTTAGTTTCGGTTTCCTTCTGTAGTAACTAACACTGGATCAATAAGAGATGATCCTTACTGAATACTGGACCTCTAGGAAGAACAGTTTAGAACTGATAGTCGATAGAGCTATCCAGTAATGTATAAATAAAGTTAGGTTTAGTTTAGGTTTCCTCCTGTAGTAACACTGGACCAACAAGTGATGATCCTTACTGGACCTCTAGGAAGAACAGTTTAAAACTGTTAGAGCTCTTTAGATTTCCTCCTGTTGTAACACTGGATGAACAAGGAATGCGGGGCTTAGCTTGGCTATCTTCCCCCAGGCTATTCAAACTTAGTCAAAGTAAGACGCGGCTTGGCCTCGCGGTCTTTCAAATTTTGATGCAGATTTTTCGAGTAGATAAAAAGCCCGCAGTGTAATCTGGCTTGGCGTTTATTTGCTTTGCTGTGATACCCGCAAATTACTGCACGATAATTAGCTGCCGATAATGAGTAAATTTCCTAAAAGTTTGTAAATAAACAGACCTTCTACAAACGAGTAAATTCAATTTCCCGTGCTAACTTGTGTTGTATGAGTGGTTTACTAGTAAATGGTGCTAATGATTCCCTTACAAGTTTCTACTGGTATTTCAATTTTAATCTTTGTTATGGATTATGTATTAAAACGTAATATCACTAATATGTATATACATAATCTGGTTTAATTCTATAACTAGCCAAACTAGCCACGAGTTTCGATAACTAGATTTATTATTTACAAGTGCCCCGTCGCGACAAACTTTCATATTTATCCGTAGTCCCAGACACGAAGTAAAAAAAAAACATTGTTGGTCGTAAAAAACACAGCTATTGTGAGTATTGGTATTAAAATCCTGTACATTTATTCATACATGGTCAAGTATTCCAAATTTTACGCATCATTTCATGCGATAAGTGCACATGAAATGCAAGGTTTATTTTTAGAGATAATTATGAAATTATGGATGAGCAAAAAACATTGCTAAGACGGCTTTTTGTCTCTGTGCTTCGCTATGTGCAGAAATTACAATATTTCAATAACTAGTTAAAGTGCTGTGGTTTGTGTCTGAACTACCTGAAAAAGATATCTCAAATGTGGTGGTCCAGTGTAGGTAGTATTAAAGCTGAACTACCTGAAAAAGATATCTCAAACGTGATGGTCCAGTGTAGGTAGTATTCTACAATAAGCTGTCGTGGTTTGTGTCTGAACTACCTGAAAAAGATATCTCAAACGTGGTGGTCCAGTGTAGGTAATATTCTACAATAAGCTGTCGTGGTTTGTGTCTGAACTACCTGAAAAAGATATCTCAAACGTGGTGGTCCAGTGTAGGTAGTATTTTACAATAAGCTGCCGTGGTTTGTGTCTGAACTACCTGAAAAAAGAAATCTCAAACGCGGTGGTCCAGTGTAGGTAGTATTCTACAATAAGCTGTCGTGGTTTGTGTCTGAACTACCTGAAAAAGATATCTCAAACGTGGTGGTCCAGTGTAGGTAGTATTCTACAATAAGCTGTCGTGGTTTGTGTCTGAACTACCTGAAAGATATCTCAAAGGTGGTGGTCCAGTGTATAGCCGTAGGTCTTTGTGCTCAGTCTGTCGTGGTTTATGTCTGAAGTACCTGAAAAAGCTAGATTAAACACTTTAAAGATTAGTAAATTTTATATCAGCTTCAGTTGAAGAAAAATATTTGTTTTGTTAAGTTTTTTTTGACTCTTAAACAAGCGGGACTCTTTGTTGAGAATTCTTACGCCACAGGGCTACTGTTTAGCGTAATTTGGCGCCATTAAGGGTCATTAAAGTCAATTTGTCATGTGTCAAAAATGGGGCGCCCTTTAATATCTTTCAGCTGTGCTAGGGATGTTTTGATTTAGATTTCGGACGATTTTTTGCGTTGGAAAATCATTTGCATACTCGTGAATTTTTGCGTGGGAAGTGCATTCTATAAGACATTGGCAAACAATCATCTAGTTCTCTTCCCATTATCTCTATTTATTCAAATTTTAAACGTTAGCTCATGAATAAACTATGCCATACTCGATGTCTGGGACACGCCTTGTTCCTTTGTTATTGTATTATCTCGTTAGCATCAGTGTTCTAGTTGTTTGTTTGTTTGTTTGTTTGTTTGTTTGTTTGTTTGTTTGTTTGTTTGTTTGTTACAAGGTTTGTTTGGGTCAACCTCGTAGTGGTGGAAAGACCTGGGTACGAGGTTTGTTTGTTTGTTTGTTTGTTTGTTTGTTTGTTTGTTTGTTTGTTTGTTTGTTTGTTTGTTTGTTTGTTTGTTTGTTTGTTTGTTTGTTTGTTAGTTTGTTTGTTTGTTTGTTTGTTAGTTTGTTGTTGTTAATTTGTTTGTTAGTTTGTTTGTTTTTTGTTTAATTGTTTAGTCGGTTTGTTTTGTTTGTTTGGTTTGTTTTGTTTTGTTTTGTTTTGTTTTGGTTTGGTTTGGTTTGGTTTGGTTTGTTTTGGTTTGTTTTGTTTTGGTTTGGTTTGTTTTGGTTTGGTTTGTTTTGGTTTGTTTTGGTTTGTTTTGGTTTGGTTTGTTTTGGTTTGTTTTGGTTTGTTTTGGTTTGTTTTGGTTTGTTTTGGTTTGTTTTGTTTTGTTTTGTTTTGTTTTGTTTTGTTTTGTTTTGTTTTGTTTTGTTTTGTTTTGTTTGTTTGTTTGTTAGCCAGTTTGTCAGTTAATTTAGCTGGTAACCTAATTCTAACTGGTCCGTATTATGGCTTGAGTAAACACTTCAAAAATTAGTAAATTTATCAGCTTCAGTTAAAAGAAAAACATTTGTTTTGTTAATGTTTTAGCATGACTCTTAAACGAGCGGGAACCTTTGTTGATAATAGAATGCAGATTTAGATCGCGGACGTCAAAGACGACGTAACAATGGCGTGTTGTGCCCGTGTATGGATATGCAACGCAATTTTCACGTCGTCTTTGACGTCCGCGTCCTCGATCTAAATCTGTATAATTCTTATGCCACAGGGCTACAGTTTAGCATGATTTGGGGTCAATTATTTCCAATCCTTGCATTCTAACTTCATTGACCAGGTTCACTTGGTGGAACTCTAAAGCGTGGTGCTTCATTACGTCACGAGCCTCGGCCGTACGTTTCGAGAAATCCCATCAAGGAAGAAGATCTCGATGTGATACTGGGCTGGGAAACAGATACGGGCAGTGACAAATGGCAGAAAATCAAAAGTGTTCGTGAAGGAACGGTTTGGAAGAAAGAGATGGTAGAAGATGGGACGTGGGTCTTGAAGGTAAGACTAGATTTCCTGGAAAACGATACATGTAAGGATGGCTCGGAATGTGTTATAGTCATTATAGTATTTAGATATGTAATTTATATTGTGACGAAGTTTATAAAATTAAAAAATTAAAAAAAAATTAAGATTTGGAACATGCTTGAATATTAACGTTTCTTCACATTCATTTAATATTTAATTCTGAATATTACAGGTAAACTACGTGAAGCGTTCCTCTTTTGAATTTTTCCTCATTACGTTTGCAATTTAAAAAACTCCCTTGCAAACCCTTGAGGAAATTTGCAATGTTGCTAAAAGCCAATAAAATTTTCCTCGGTTCCTGTTAGAAATTCTTAACTTCCTGTTACAAGTTTCTAACTTCCTGTTCTGTTCTGGGCGTTGCAATTGGCTAACAAAAATAATCGACGAATAACAACGCTCAGAACAGAACAGGAAGTTAGGAAATTAACACAGGAAGTTAGGAAAATTTAAAATGAAGTTTGGAATATTGCAACAGCCGATAGGAACGTTGCAAATTCCCTCAAGGGATTTGCAAAGATTTTTTCAAATTTGCAAAGCTAATGAGGAAAATTCCAAATGAGTTACGAAGTCAAAAGAGGAACGCTTCACGTAGTTTACCTGTAAACGTTTCTTCACATTCATTTAATATTTAATTCTGAATATTAAACGTTTCTTCACATTCATTTAATATTTAATTCTGTTGCTTTTATAGGCTGAACTTACTGCTGAAAGTGTTCCATTTAGGAAAGGTGGAGATTATTTCTTTCTTGAATTTCAATGGATGATCATTCCAGTTATAGGCGAAATTTTGATCTATAGACAATCCATTCCCATAGCGGGAAAGAGCATCTTAAAATGAGTAAAATTGCAAAGCTTGGTTGCGAATTGTTGTAAAATGAAGAAAATATAGTCCTGTGAAGTTCGCAAATTTTGTAGTATTTGAATTACGCGCGGGGAAAATAATCATTTTTGAGCCGAAAGTTGTTATTTTTACCGCACGCAATACAAATATGTACAAAACGTTCGAACTTTACAGGGCTATATTTTCTTCATTTTACAACATTTCGCAACCAATCTTTGCAGTTTTACTAATTCTAAGACGCTCTTTCTAGCTGTGGTGTTGGATTTCGTTTTTCTTGCCTTGATCAAAATTTAGTCTAGCTGGAATCGCCCATTCTCATATGTATCAGTATAGATTGTTTCGATTGAAATCTTGGGATTAGTTTGAAACTCGAATGTCTGATCAATTATAAGTTTGGGCTTCTCTTTCTGCTTTGTAGCCGTGGAACTTATAACAGAAATCAAACATAGAAAAGAATGGGATTGTCTGCATTTGCATCTTGATGTTGTCGAAACGGTTGGACATGGGAACTTTAAAATCATTTATAGGTAACCGTTTACTTTAAATTGAACTTATTGAGGAGCTCGAAGTACTATTTTTAGTAAAACATGAGCAGCAGTGTCTTATCAGATATAAAGATACGATGCATTAGCCGAGTATCTTTAGGCCTAAGAAAACACGCACTGCGAATGTTTTAAGTTGCTTCAAAAACTCATTAATAATTCAGGGAATAATTCATAAGCGTGTCGTGGTTTTATATGTGATAAAAAATCACGTTAATTTACATAAACTTTAGCTTTGATTTTCTCGGTTTAGACAAAGTTTATTTTAAAAATTACTTCGCCAATGAACTCGTTTAAGATGAGTCGTTTTTGAAGCACTTGTAGTCGTGTTTTATCACATATAAAACTCTCCGCTACGCGTCGTGTTTTATATGTGATAAAACACTCCTACGCGTGCTTTAAGATAGTACTTCAAAAACGATCGATCTAGTAAGTTCATTGGCGAGGTAATTTTCAAAACTCATACCTTCTGTAAGTCGAGAAAATCAAAGTTAAAGTTTATGTAAATCAAGGGAAATCTCTATCACATATAAAGATAAGACACGCGTATGATTTTTCTTTGTGTTTATTTTGCTGTGATTTTTCCTAATTAGTAATGAGTTTTTGAATTAGTTGTAAAACTGTTCTCCATCGAGGTCCAGTATAACTGAGATCCAGGGAGAATGTTAGCGTAGTAGAATGGAGTTATACTTTGCTTAAATAAAGCCCCATACAGAAAGGCAATTTTTCCGTTACAAGTTTTATTATTTTATTATTATAAGCCGTTTTATCACTGAGTTTTTCAATTATTATATTCTATAATTATATAAGAGGACCAGAACGGGTGGCCCCCAAAAGCTACCCTGGGTCAGAGGTTTTCTTTTGGAGGGGGGGAGAATGGTTGGGGGGGGGTGATGGAGAGGGTAACAGGAAACCCCTGGTCCACGGTACGCAAAAGTGAAATTGTGAAATTTGGAACCCCTTGTTTTAGTAGACATGGATGGGGAAAAATTTTTGTCACCCGTTATCACAGGCATATGTGTATGATGTAATGAGCAAAAAGCTACCGATTTCTTTAGCCAAATGAAGATGCCAGCGTTTTGTAAGAAGAGAGAGTTCTTGGAAGCCATGAGTCAGAGAGTCAGTGATATAGAAAGTGATTGTTATCATATGTTGGCGTTCCGAAGTACAACGCATCCCAGCGTGCCGCCTACGAAAGACATCATCAGGTTCGTCTATGATTTTTGTCGCGGTACGCCAATGGTTGTTGCCGCGTACTTGCGCTAGAACGCTTTGCTATTTGAAAAGGGAGTTTTGCTATTTGAAAAGGGGGTTTTGCTATTTGAAAAGGGAGTTCTGCTATTTGAAAAGGGAGTTCTGCTATTTGAAAAGGGAGTTTGCTATTTGAAAAGGGAGTTTTGCTATTTGAAAAGGGAGTTTTGCTATTTGAAAAGGGAGTTTTGCTATTTGAAAAGGGAGTTTTGCTATTTGAAAAGGGAGTTTTGCTATTTGAAAAGGGAGTTTTGCTACTTGAAAACGGAGTTTTGCTATTTGAAAAGAGAGTTTTGCTACTTGAAAAAAGAGTTTTGCTATTTGAAAAGGGAGTTTTGCTATTTGAAAAGGGAGTGAATTTGAGAAGGCAAAAAATCGTGGTTAGTCGCTTAATGTTTGTTCTATTCTGACCTTACTCCAGGGCGGATGACCAACTCTCTGGTATCATAATTCGTCCAGTGGGCGATGGCATGACAAGTTCCAAAGTGACCTTCATATATCGCGTCAAATTCCGCGGTTCAGCTCCTCGGGGAATGAAGAAGAGTTACCTGGCGAGTCAATCGGTAGAGATGGTACGAAGGATGAAAAAATATTACGAGAAGAAAAAAGTCGAAGAAAGGATCGGTAAAGTATAAGATTGTTAGACATTGGTCTTGTTTCTATGGGAATGGTACGGAACCACAAATATCTGATATTCAGGATTGCCTCGCGTGAAACTTGAATATCTGAAATTTCACATGCGAGTAGACAGTTTTTATCTGTGAGTATGACAACAGTTCCTGGATGTGGGATTTTGATACCAGTATGATTAAAGAGAATCACATGTGATTAAACATTTTCTGCCAAGATTGGTTAGTATAGAGGCAAGATGTATAGACTTGTCAACAAGATGTGTTCGCAACAGGCTTGTAGCGAGCTTGTCAACAAGTTGTAAAAATGTTGTTAATTTATCAAGTTGCTACAAGGTTGTCACTCGCAATTTGTTGATAAATTGTTGAATTGCAGGACGATGACAAGTTGTTGAACAACTTGTAATAAGTCTGTTGAGCTCGACAACCTTGTAGCAAGTTGCCAACAAGGCGTTGACAACTTGTCAACAAGCTGAGAACAAGCAGTGCGAACACATCCTGTTGGCAAGTTGTTGGAACAGCATTCCTACAAGTCTGCTGCAGGTTTCTTACAACTTGTGCGTTTTTACGCGTGAACACATGTAAAAACGCACAAGTTGTTACAGGTCTGCAAACAAGTTGTTACAAATCTGTTCACAAGCTGTCGACAAGTTGTGTTTGCACTGCTTCTTCCCAGTTGTTGGAACAAGTTTGGAACAAGCTGTTAACAACTTGTAACAAGCTTGATGGCATTATCAGACTTGTTACAAGGTTGCTCTAAGGGGCGGGCCATTAGAAAGTAATGTCTCTGTAGGATTTTTTTTATGCATTTAACCTCTGCAAGAATTTTTTTCAAGACTATTTGTTGTTTGCTTGCACGATTTTTTTTCTCTGACGTAATGGCTGCGCGAATTTTTTTCCAGGCATTTTTCTTTGCACGAATTTTTTTGGGGGAATTTTCACACCTCCCGGGATTTCTAATGGTCCGCCCCTAACAAGTCTGATACAATCATGATATAACAAGAATGTAACAAAGTTGACGACACAAGGTTGTAACAATATTGTTATATCATGACTGTATCGGACTTGTTGGAACAACCTTGCAACAAGTCTGATAATATCAACAAGGTTGTTACAAGTTGTTAACAGCTTGTTCGAAACTTGTCGACAACTTGGGACAAGCAGTGCGAACACAACTTGTTGGCAGATCTGCTACAAGATGTGAGATTTTTCCGTGTGTAGAACAGGACCATGGGTTCTCAACAGTTTGTGTTAAAACTTGAAACTGTACGGTACCAAGTCGTGCAATTGCACGTCTTGATAGGACATATCTAGTTTGTAGCTTGTAGAAGGGTATTGTATTATTTCAACTCGTTTTATTTAAGACCTTAATAGCGCTATATACGTGGACAGTCATATGTAAAAAAGCTTAATTTAAGACCGTTTTTAAACGACCAACAAACGCGAAACCAGTATCATTGACACATTATTTAGTTTAATCTTATTAAATAGATTTTTGACAAGATTTTTAGTTTAATTTATATTGCTTGTTTGTCTGTTTATCAATCGATATATTTATTTACACTCGTTGGCATAAATTTGCGAAAATAATCATTGTTATACATCATTCGTCAACCATCAATTTATATACCAATGGCACACGTCAAATTAAATTGGATATACATTTTATTTTAAATATTATTTGATACAAACTGTATATTGTTTTTATTACGTTTCCAAATTCGGAAGTTGGGCGGGAACTTCGCAGCGAAGTTCGTAAGTTCATTTCAAAGTTCGAACTTCGATTGTAAACAAATGTAAAACTTTCATCTATAAATTTATTTTAAAAGGCATTTTTCGTCTTGGGAGACCACTGGACCAATATTTTACTGCAGTAATATGTGCATAGGGCCTTATACAGTAATTTCAAATCCAACTATGAACATTTCTTTACAATCAAAGTTCGACTAACTTTGAAATGAACTTGCGAACTTCCGTTGCGACGTTCACGCCCAACTTCCGAACTTGACAACGTAATTGGCAAGTTCGCAACGAACTTGGGAACAGCGTGTTGAAAAGTTACCTGAAATCGACAATAAGCGCTCTCAAGATAAGATTTCCTTGCCTTGACAAGTTTTATTCGCTCATGTTTAAGGCAAAAAATGGACAATTTTTACTTGCAAAGGAGCCTTGTTTCAAAGCTAGACATGCGAGCTTTTGGACAAAGAAGATTTGTTCGTCGTGAGATGTTTAAAATTAAGGTTACTTCACACGATGAACGTGCGTTTTAGTCTATTGGACATTGCGCAACGAATTTTAGGTGTAACTTTACCACATTTTCAGTGAAGAAAGCCAAGAAAATGCTGATTTCGAAAATCTTCATTTGATGGGTGTTCAGTTAAAACATTTTCAGTATTGGCTGACTGAAGAAATATATAGGTACCTTCATAAAAAGATCAAAATATGTTTATAGTTTACCTCAACGTTTGTCTAGATATCGCAATTCGAATCTTCATGGGAACGGTAAAAAAAAACGTGTGTGGAAAATTTCTCTTCTTTAGTGTTTTTTTCTGATGTGCCCTGATTTTTGGATTTGTCACTGATATGCACGAAGTTGTCAAAGAAAACGTCATATCAGAAAAACCATCGAAGAAGAGAAATTTTCCGCACACTTTTTTTTAACCGCACCCTTGAAGATTCAAATCGAGATATGTAGACAAACGTTGAGGTAAACTATAAACATATTTTGATTTTTTATGGGATACCTATATATTTCTTTAGTCAGCCAATACTGAACATGTTTAAACAGAACACCCATCAAATGAAGATTTTCGAAATCAGCATTTTCTTGACTTTCTTCACTAAAAATTCGGTAAAGCTACATCTAAAATTCGTTGCGCCATGTTCAATAGACTAAAACGCACGTTCATCATGTGAAGTAACCTTAAAGTGCCCATGACACGAAATTTCACCCCAAAGGTTTATGGTTGCATTGTAAAGATCATTTAATTAAAATGACTTAATAATTTCGTTTATAGAATTTTGGTAACTTGCTCACTTTTCAGGATATTCAACTTTGTTTCATATGCAAATATCGCCGGTGTGACATCACATCACATAATGAGTTTTCAGAAAAGTATAGTTTCTTGACAAATACGTATCTAAAAAACTTAAAAATTGCCCTTGTATATGTATTAATTTCATAACTGGTAATTAACCCTCTGTATTTGTTTGTAAAAATATTTTATAAAGGTAAAATATTGCGTTATCAAAATGTCATTATGCGATGTGATATGTCACACCGGTGATATTCGCATATGGAACAAAGTTGAATATCTTACAAAGGAAGCATGTTACCAAAATTCTACAAAAGAAATTATTAAGTCATTTTAAGTGATCTTTACAATGCAATCATAAACATTTGGGGTGAAATTTCGTGTCATAGGCACTTGAACAACATTCCCTGCATGCACAAGAACAACACAACTTCTCAAGGAAAACTTGCTGACTGTACACACGAGAAGATAAACTTGTCAAAGAAGAGTTGCTAGTCGTCTGTAGGGGCTCATGTCTCGTTGTTACTCAAGCTACAGCGCCGGCCACGGTGCCATAAGGATGGGCAAATTTCTGGTTCACCAAAAGCTGTAATAAAGCACACGTGTCTTTCTTAAACTTTTCCAAAGGGTTTCCAAACTCGTCTTCGGAAGAACCGTCCGAGGAGACTTCGCTTTGGTTGTCACTCGAAGTCGAAGAGAGGCCCTCTGGTTTGGTCTTAGAACTGCAGCTGAGATTCTTGTCGTCTAGGAATCCAATGTTTTGGTTTAAAGACATGACGGTAAGGTCGCTACAATACAGTCGTAGTTCTCTGTTTAACGTCGCGAACACACGTAACCAGCCTGGAAGAAATTGAAAGAAATCACAAAATCGCCCTAAACTTGGTGGTCCAGTGTAGGTAGTATACAATAAGCTGTCGTGCTTTGTGTGTGAACTACTTGAAAAAGATATCTCAAATGTGGTGGTCCAGTGTAGGTACGTAGTATTCTACAATAAGCTGTCGTGGTTTGTGTCTGAACTACTTGAAAAAGATATCTCAAACGTGGCGGTCCAGTGTAGATAGTATTCTACAATAAGCTGTCGTGGTTTGTGTCTAAACTACTTGAAAAAGATATCTCAAACGTGGTGGTCCAGTGTAGGTAGTATTCTACAATAAGCTGTCGTGGTTTGTGTCTAAACTACTTGAAAAAGATATCTCAAACGTGGTGGTCCAGTGTAGGTAGTATTCTACAATAAGCTGTCGTGGTTTGTGTCTGAACTACCTGAAAAAGATATCTCAAACGTGGTGGTCCAGTGTAGGTAGTATTCTACAATAAGCTGTCCTGGTTTGTGTCTGAACTACCTGAAAAAGATATCTCAAACGTGGTGGTCCAATGTAGGTAGTATTCTACAATAAGCTGTCGTGGTTTGTGTCTGAACTACCTGAAGAAGATATCTCAAACGTGGTGGTCCAGTGTAGGTAGTATTCTACAATAAGCTGTCCTGGTTTGTGTCTGAACTACCTGAAAAAGATATCTCAAACGTGGTGGTCCAATGTAGGTAGTATTCTACAATAAGCTGTCGTGGTTTGTGTGTGAACTACCTGAAAAAGATATCTCAAACGTGGTGGTCCAGTGTAGGTAGTATTCTACAATAAGCTGTTGTGGTTTGTGTCTGAACTACCTGAAAAAGAGATCTCAAACTTGGTATAGGTAGTATTCTACAATAAGCTGTTGTGGTTTGTGTCTGAACTACCTGAGAAAGATATCTCAAACGTGGTGGTCCAGTGTTGGTAGTATTCTAAAGTGATACTTTACACCCAAAGGTAAAAATATGCTAATATGTACCATTCAGATCTTTAAGCTGTACAATTCCTCTTGACAAGCGATGCTGTAAGCACACTGACCAGACACAACATTCTTCTGAACTCTTGTACTGAGGCGACGCCAAGTCGAACAAGCAAATCAATCGATATAGAGTTAAACTCGATGGCATCGCCTCTTGGCCCAAACTCAAATTGGTCTGCTCCGCTTCGGCGCTTGTCCCTGGCATGCTTGCAATGGCCGCACCTATGCAATCGAGGATACTAGTATCATTTGTAACAATACATGTGCTTGTAGATGCTGCATCGGCAATCGTAGGTGCCGAGTCAGCATTTTCTTGTGCTGAGTCTGCAATTTCTAGTGCCGACCTGGCAATTTCATTCTCATCAGGGTCATCTCGGATGCTCTTAGCGGACTCTAAACTTTTCTCGATAACCTGTCTGTTTAATTTTTCTGGGCATTTAAGGTTCTTGGGGTCGCAGCAAAAGAACAACCATTTCTCCTCGTAAGAGTCGAACACCAACTCGAACGTCGGCTGCGGATGGTCGATTATGGCTTCCCATTTTGTTGCAACTTCCGCCTGGGTCATTTGTTGCTCCTCGTATTCCCATGAACTACGATGGATAAAATATTCACAGTTGCAAAAATAACCGCAATCGTCCCCGTTGTCCTCGCTCTCTTGGTCTTCGTCGTTACCGGACTTGCCGCTGTAGCTGCTTAACGTGTCCGAACTGAAACTCTGGGTTATCCCTTTGGATGCGACCGTTGGCATAGCCGAATACTCCCCCGCTTTTAGTGCGAGAACAGGTGAAATTGAAAACTCGCCCGCCTTCAAAGCGGGCAAGAATTCCGTGGCCTTGGGTTCGGACTTGATGTTATCCAAAGTCTCGATGCTTGAGCTTCGGGAAACATTCTCGGACGAAAACACGGATTCAGAATAAACCGGGAAAGGAATCTCGTAGGATATCTTATATGTATTTCCCAATGGGTGGGTTACAAAAAATGGGCTCGAGAGCATATTAAGTACAGTCAAGCCGTCGTCTCGGAATTTTATAGAAATAGGACAACCGTGGGAAAATGTCGACGACATTGCCGCTTTCCAATCGTAAGTTTCGAAGATGGAACCAGTTTCGGAATGTTTTAACCGGAATCGCCAAATTCGGTAGAAGGCTAGCCCTACGTCCTCCATGAACATATATTTGAACAGTGTCAACCATCTGTACATCATAACGCAACTCGCCATAACTTGGTACGGCCTGATGAACCTCATCTGTCGGCTCGTCATGCGGTCTTGGTTTAAACGAATCGTAAAAGAGTCGTCGACATATTCCCTGCGTCTATCTACGAACACCCATTTTAGGTCGTGAGTGTCGTAGTACAGTTCCATGTTGCTGTTAAAGAATCGCGGGCTAGTTTCCTCGAGTTCATACAAGCGTGGCTTTTCCCACCGCAAGTTGACGTCTTCCATGGCGTTAAATACGGCTCGCTGGAGTTCGTCCGAATCTAGAAAGCTCTCGCCAAGTTTACAGATTATAAAATACTTCATGTCATCTGGAGAGTAGTTTCCGATTCCGAGTAAGTACCTATAAAACATTCAATTTAATGGTAAATTTGACCATGGTCCGATGGTCGTTTAGTGTCGAAGGGGCTGTCGTTACCAGGGCATAGTTCATTCAATATATATATTGTAATTGTACAATTATAATATCACTTCAGTCTGATTTGGACATCGCTTGGAGAACATCATTCAATATATATTATCTACCTGAGTACAAATTCCACCATGATTAAGTAGTTTTCTACTTGCCTGGTGTGGACATCACTTTGAGAACATCATCCAATATATATAATCTACCTGAGTACAAATCCCACCATGATCAAGTAGTTTTCTACTTGTCTGGTGTGGACATTACTAGGAGAACATCATCCAATATATATAATCTACCTGAGTACAAATCCCACCATGATCAAGTAGTTTTCTACTTGTCTGGTGTGGACATCACTTGGAGAACAGCATGAATCTCTTAAATCCTCCGCTAATTGCAACTTTCGTCACGCTAATTTAGACCTAATATTAAAATATTAGTCGTAAAATAAATATATTTCAACCAGTTTAATGCTATTATTTCAAACGTTTTTCTCACAAATTCCATCCCAAAAGTACCTGTAAAGCTTTTGCCAGTGCAAGGCAAGTGTCGAAACCTGTCCAAGTACAGCTCTTTGCGAAGGCCAGCGATTTAAAACCAAGTTTTGCCATAAACTGTTATCGTTAGCAATCCTATGCCAACGTTTGCAAACTAGGCTGCATTTTAACACCTCGTTTCCATCGAGAAAATGAAATATGTTTAAAACTATCTCGTCTAATTCACCAACTACTCGTTGGTTTGTCATTTCTTGTTCAGATTTCGTGATCAAGGTTTAAATTTTGCTTTTTTTCGCGTGATGTTTTTGAATAAACAACACTGCGTCATTGTTATTGTACAATTTTTTTTCAAAACAAAACGCAGGGTATAAAGGAATTGCAATGGGTATAAGGTTTAATTTTTGAACAATGAGGGATAAGTTGCGGTAGAAAATCATAGGTAAAATGGAGTAAATTGGGATTATTGTACATAAGTTTCAGAGGATATTTTGTATGGTGTCCCATGTCCGCCAAAAATCAACTTTTGCATTTCACTATATGATATTTTGAGGATCATATTCATTTCATTAAAATAACAACATTGTTTTTGAAGATCACCGGTTTATCGGTTGAAAACACAACTTATTTTTTGAAGACCAACTTTTGAAGACCAACTTTTGAAGACCAACTTTTGAAGACCAACTTTTGAAGACCAACTTTTGAAGACCAACTTTTGAAGACCAACTTTTGAAGACCAACTTTTGAAGACCAACTTTTGAAGACCAACTTTTGAAGACCAACTTTTGAAGACCAACTTTTGAAGACCAACTTTTGAAGACCAACTTTTGAAGACCAACTTTTGATACCCAACCGCAATCCAATGTCTTTGTTGTTCGCGGGCTCATATTGTGATTTTCCGCTAAAATCATCTCTGTCTGAGTAACTAAACTTTTTATATATTCAGTGTTTTATTTTCCTTATCCATTTTGTGCAGGCTGATGTAAATTCAAGAATATGAATTATTCATATACTGTACAATGTACATGACATGTATTAATAGTTAATTATGATTCAAAAATCATTAATAATTCAGGAGGAAAACACAGAGAAAAATCATAAGCGTGTCGTGGTTTTATATGTCATAAAAAATCATGTTAATTTACATAAACTTTAGCTTTGATTTTCTCGGTTTAGATAAAGTTTATTTTAAAAATTACTTTGCCAATGAACTCAACTCGTATAAGTATTTGAAGCCATTTAAAGCACTTGTAGTCGTGTTTTATCACATATAAATCACTCCGCTACGCGTCGTGTTTTATATGTCATAAAACACTCCTACGCGTGCTTTAAATAGTACTTTATGACTTGGTGTTGGCGGCTCGTATAATATTTTACTTGTGATCAGGTTAGATTGCAGAA